GATGTGGGACTCGATCCCGGGACTCCAGGATCATGACCTGAGCCGAAGGCAGTCGCTTAACCAACTGAGCCACCCAGGCGCCCCTTATGCTATATTCTTGAGGAGGTCCAGGATTCACCCGTAACAGCACATCCTCCCCCCTCCCTGTTAACCCCCTCCTGTTTTGGAGTTATTGGTTTAGAGTGTTTCTTTTTCTTTTCCTTTTTTCTTTCTTTCTTTTTTTTTTTTTTTAAGATTTTATTTCTTTATTTGACAGAGAGAGAGAGAGACAGCAAGAGAGGGAACACAAGCGGGGAGTGCGAGAGGGAGAAGCAGGCTTCCCACTGAGCTGGGAGCCCGATGCAGGGCTTGATCCCAGGACTCTGGGATCATGACCTGAGCCAAAGGCAGACGCTTAACGACTGAGCCACTCAGGCGCCCCTCTTTTTCTTTTTAAATAAGGTTTGGATACTTAAAAACAGGTATAGAGAAGTAAGTTGGTGACTTAAATGATCTGATAGCACATGTTATAACAACATAACATTAAATTTCAGTGACTATAATTTTCATTTCTTGAAGTTTTATTTGGTTAATTTTCATAATTTGTTTTCTTTATCATTTATATTCTATCTCTTTAATCATTGTTACCCACTTACTTTATGGTGTTTTCAGATTGTATTAATTTCTTGAGTTCCTGGGTACTAATCTGTTTGTTTTGATTGCCAACTTTTCATTACAATGGTGGACTATTTCCTCACTGGGTTTAAAGTTTTAGATTGCAAGCTCACTTTATTTTTTAATTATGTTATGTTAATCACCATACATTACATCATTAGTTTTTGATGTAGTGTTCCATGATTCATTGTTTGCGTATAACACCCACTGCTCCATTCAATACGTGCCCTCTTTAATACCCATCACCAGGCTAACCCATCCCACCACCCCCTCCCCCTTAGAACCCTCAGTTTGTTTCTCAGAGTACAAATGTCTCAGTTTCTCAGGGTCCATGGTTCGTCTCCCTCTCCGATTCCCCCCCCTTCATTTTTCCCTTTCTACTGTCTTCTTCTTCTTCTTTTTTTTTTTTTAACATATAAAGTATTATTTGTTTCAGAGGTACAGGTCTGTGATTCAACAGTCTTACACAATTCACAGCGCTCACAATTCACAGCGCTAGCACATACCCTCCCCAATGTCTATCACCCAGCCAT